AGGCAAATTCACTCCTTGTAGGATTTTCTGAGTTATTTTAAAGACATAAGATCCTTAGGATAAAGTCTCAAGATATCTTGGGGAGCTGATTGACTCAGAAATAATAAGATGCAAAGTATTTTCTGCTTAATCTCCAAAATAGAGTTATATGTTTTGTCAGATGCAGCCTTGATTATAATTTATTTACATACTAAGATAGAAGATAGAAAGACTTTATGAGAACTTGAAAATGGATGGCTATATGAGCAGAAGGAGGAAAGGTGTTAAATTAGGAGGAAGGATGACTTCAATATCTGGATCCCTGTCCAGCCCCTTCATGCTTTATATACCTAGGATGTGTTTAAGACTATATATTTTTGATTTTGTTAGTTTTCAATTAGCTAACATTTATTTTTTCTGCCTCCCACCCCACCCCTACCCCCACTCACCTGCCTCCTGTTTGGGGGGTAGAACAAAGGAAGAAACCCTTGTAATAAATATACAAAGTAGAGCAAAACAAATTCCCACATTGGTTATGTACAAAAATGTATGTCTTGTTTTGCGTATTTAGTTCATCACTTTTCTGTTAGGAAGAGGGTAACATGTTTAATCACTGGTCCTCTGAAATCATGACTGATCTTTGCATTGGTTAGAGTTCTTTGGTCTTTCAAAATTACTCATTTTTACTTTGTTGTTGTAATATTAATTGTTTTCTTGGTTCTGTTCATTTCATTCTGCATCACTTCATATTTGTCTTCCCAGGATATGAATAATACAAGCATTCTCTAAATCCATCCCTCAATGATTTCTTATGGCACCATGGGTATTCAGTTACATTCACACTCCATAATATGTTAACCCATTCCCCAAATAATGAGCACCCCTTTAGTTTCCAGTTTCCTAAAAACCAAATAAAGAAAACTATGGAGGAGTTAGTCAGGTACTGAAACTAAACAGGAAAAATGACCCTCATAAGAAGGCTTATGAGGACCTACTTTTACCTTAAACATAGACACCCTTGAACAACTCAAATGGTCCTAACATGCAGTTTAAAAATTCACCAGGCCATGTTAGCAGCAAGGAACCCTAGGAGGGTTCATGAATGAATATTAATATTGCTACAAATGATGACTATTTGGCAGCTATGCTACCATAGCTTGGCAGCTACATGCTACCAAAGGTTGAGTTTCAGTCACTTACTGCCAGTATTTTTTTTCATTATTAATCCCAGTGGGGGCCTTCCAAGGAAATGAATTCAATGATCATTGGATCAACTATAGTTCCAGTTTTATAGTTCCTGGTAGAAAAAAAAAATCATACCAGCCAAGAAGAATGGTCTTTTAAGTTATTCCAAATAACTTTATTTTCTCCTTTGTTTAGAACTGAAATACTGTCTTTATCTGTAGTGGCTCTTGAAAATGTATGCCAAATAAAGAGTCATTTAATCCTTTAAAAGAGCTATAGACCAAGATATTTCTGCCTAGGGTCAACTCAAAATTCCTATTGTAAGAGATATATAAAGTATCATATAACAATTCTCATGGACTGCCAAGATGCTGACATTTTATTCAGCTTATTATTTGTATTATTTATCTCATTATTCAATTCAATCCAACAAATGCATTTCTAGACAAACATATATACATACATGCATATATATATATATACATACATGCGTACATTCATACATACAGCTGGTATCCATGCAATGTAAAAAGAACTAAAGAAAGGCCACCCACATATTGGTTGGCCCCTCTGAGCTAAATAAGGAGGACATAGGCACGAGTTGCCCAGGATGGTCAGATATGGATGGACTGGAATCTGAAGGGGGCACCCATCTCAACATTATCATAGATCCATTGAAGATAAAAAGACATGTGTATGTTTTCAAATCACTTCTAAAGCACCTGTAAGGTGCAGAATTAGAGACAGCTTGGCATCATAGAGGACCAGCCTTGGGGTCAAGAAGAAGACCTGAGTTCAAGAACTGTCTATGACACATACTGCCTTCATGATTAGAAACAAAACATTTAGCCATTCCTTGCTCCTAGACAGCTATGTGTATTGGTGGACAAATTTTGAACACAGGGGATTCCCCACATTGATTAAATCATTAGTCTGAATCAAAATTTTAAAAAAAATTGAAGAACAGCATTAGATGCTCTAACTTCTTGTGAATTGACAAGGGACTTTCTGGGACCATATAGCCTCATCTTCACCCCAGTCATTTTCCACCTTCCAAAAGAGATCACCAGACACCAGGCCTAGGAATCAATAAATCAATAAACATTTATTTAAGCACCTACTATGTGCCAGACACTGTGCTAAGCACTGGGGATACAAAAAGATGCAAAAGACGGTCCCTGCCACTAAACTCTGAAATCTCAGGGACCATAAGTCATCAATCATTTATTGTTGTTCAGTTGTGGCTGACTTTTTAATGACCATGTTTGAACTTTTCTTGGCAAAGATACTGGAGTGGTTTGCCATTTCCTTCTCCAGCTTATTTTAAAGATAAGGTAACTGAGGCAAACAGGGTTAAATGATTTGCCCAGGGCCACACAAGCTAGTAAGTATCTGAGGTCACATTTGAACTCACAAAGATGAGTCTTCCTGACTTTAAGCCCAGTGCTCTATCCACTGCACCACCTAGTTGTCCAATTATTTTACCCAGATAGTTTTCCACCCCAGGCAGTACAAGTACTGTTCTCCCCAACTTACATCTCTTGCTCTGAAATACTATCTCAATACTATCTTTGCCTCTGGAAAATCTGTCAGTTGATTGTTCCACTCATCATCTTTGTGCTTTCTTGGACTCCCTTCTCTGCCTATCACTATCCTGTAAGTGCGCTCTCTCTCTCTCTCTTACAATGTAAATTCCTTGAAAGCTAGGACAGAAATTATATTTAGATTAACATCTCACACCACATACTACAAACAATTCCAAATGGAGACATGGTCTGGGTATAAAAGGTCATATAATAAACAAATTAGGAAAGCAAAGAAGAAAACACCTTTTGAGATCAACTCCTACAGGTGGGAAGGTGTGTTCAGAGCCTAATTATGTGGATTTCTTTGAGATGTAGTAGGATATATTGTGTTTTTCTTCCAACTCTAGAAGTGATTGAGGCTTTTGAAAACTTTGGGCCGGGTGTGGCTACTGAAGCATAAGTAGTGGGGGGAGTTTCTGAACTGAGCACTCAAGAGAGTGAGAGGAGCAGCTAACTGGTGTGGCATGAATTTTCAAGAGAGGGAGGAGATGGGGTGCTACAGCTGTCTTCACTTTCAGCGTTGATGACCTTACAGAGGGGAGAATAGGTACCAGACTTTGAAATACAGTCTTCCCTTCCTTCTTCCTCCTTTCTGATCAGGTTTGGAAAAAACTAATTCCAAAAATTATTCTGTTCTGTAAAGTTACTTTTAAAATTTATGTATCAATAGGTTGAATTTCTCTTACCAGCTAGATAAATCCCCATCTATCTGGTTTTGATCTGTGCATTGCCTTGATTGTGAACAGGGGCATTGCAGAAGGAAGAAACTGTATTTAGCTGTTGGTAAACAGACATACTAAAAGGGCCAGGCTTTCTCCTGAGTGGAGGCTGAACCAAACTGAGAGAGAGAATCTTATGGCCTCAATGTATTAATAATTTTTAAAATAAACTTCTCTAAAGGCAGAAATAAACTGAGTCTGAGGATTTTCCTTCCTTTTGCTGCCTGGGACAAGACTGGGCTATTGGAAATGTAGCCTTATGTTCCATGGAACAGCTCTCCCCTGAACCCTACTCATGCCCAGAGAAATAGATTTAAAGGGAAGGAATTGAAAGTGGTGACTAGCAAGGGAACTACATGGTGTGTAGACAGAAGGAGTGACTGGATGTGGCAACACCCATGTTCCAAAGGTGGAGGACAGAGGAGTGAATTTTTTTTATTCTCTTTTTTTTCCCCCCTTTCCTCCTCCAGGTAGCTTCCCTTTAATCTGTAACCACAAGCTTACAACCAGACAGGTACAGAAAAGCTATCCTAGACAGACGTTATAAAATGAGAAAGCCTCAGTATCCATTTTCATATGAAACAGCAATAGTACCTCAAAAGTGTAGAAAGTTTAAACATATGGTCACCTTTACTTTTAATGGTTCATTTTACAGTGGTCGTTAAAAATCACTACACAGTACAAAATGAAGAGAGAAATTTAGCAAGCTGGTTGATTTGAACAACAAAGTCAAACTGGTTAATGAAAAGTCCATTAAAAATCTACTATTTGATGCTCTAATTATACAGTTGGTTATCTTTTTTTAAGTTGAATTAACTGGGTTGCTGCCAAATATCCTCCATACCTTGATTTTTGGTAAAGCATAGCCTTAATGTATACGTAGTATGTATAGGCTTAGATATTGATTTGGATAGAGTGCCAGCAGGAACAGATACTCAATAGCTGTATGATGCTGGGCAAGTCACTTAACCCTGTTTGCCCCAGTTCCCTCATTATGTAAAATGAGCTAAAGAAGTTAATAGAAAACCACCTCAGTATCTTTGTCAAGAGAACCCCAAATGGGGTCATAAAAAGTCAGACATGACTGAACAACAAAAATTGACTATAGAATTAAGATGGTCCTTTCAAAATGTCATGATTCTGGTAACTAGCCAGGTTATGCACAGTGCTTTCACATTTAATTTATTTTTCAAAATCTTTCTCAATAAAAAATCTATTTCAGCAGAAAATATGAAGAAGAAACTTGTTTTGTTCGTTTTGTCAGGATCTGTGATTTCACTGATAAAATAAGAACTCTGGGGAGGAAATATACTCTTTTAATTCAGATTAGCCACTTCTCTGCAACTTGTGTTCTTGGAGAACTGCTTGGGAGACTGGTCACAATCCCCTACCTCCCAGGCCCCTGGTTTGTTATTCTGTGTTATTTGTAGATACAGTTGCTTTAATACTGGGAGGTAGGGTGGTATAGTGGATAGGTTGCTGAACTTGGCAACAGGAGGTCTTGGGTTCAAATTCTGCCTCCGGTACTTACCTGCTGTATCACCAGTGATAAGTCTTTTTACCAGTCTGAGCCTCAGTTTTCTGATCTGTAAAATAAGGGTGATAATAGCATTAGTACCTATCTCAGAGGGTTGTGATAAGGTTCAAATGAGATGCTATATATAAAGTGCTGTGCAAACTTTAAAGTTTTGCATAAATATAAGGTTGATTTTAAAAATTGGGGATTTTAAAATGAAAGTTCTGTGGCAAATTCTAGTATTTGGATTTGAAGAAGCTTGGAATCTAATTAAATCCCATAATGATAGACATGGCTCTCCTACATGTTAGTTTATGTAATGGAATATTTTGTTCTCAATTAAACAGGAAAAAAAACAACAATTTTCATAAGATTGCTTTTACCCTTTCAACCTTTTCACCCAGAAGAGCCTCAACAAGTGAGTGTCACGTTCATACTGGGCTGCAAAGAATCCAGGGTTGAGCAAGGTTAAGTAGATTCAATTAATTACTTGGAGTGATCACAAAGTTTGAATTAGTTTGGGTCTCCTTTGTCTTTAATTTTCCTTAAATTTGCATTTGGCTTCAACTTTGATTTTGGAAAAGAAATGCCTCTGTTTAAAACAGGGCTTACATCACAGTTTTAATTATTTACCAACAAAGAAATAAAGAAACAATTTAACAGAAAGCACATCAGCTAAGTGGGATGGAAAAATGCTGCTAAGGTATGTTGGAAGCATTTAATTTTGATAGGCATGATATATAGCTAGGGAAGTAAGTATACCCAAACAATTATGCTGTCCCTGAAAGAGTAGCCGATTTATAAGTCGAGTAGCCAATGAGACTGAAGAGGGAGTTGTCAAATTTACAGGAAGTAATTAAAGAAGTAGAGGCTCTCTTCTTTTACTGGCTGGTTCTGGATTACATAGAGATTATGAAGAGAGACAAGAAAAATGACAGAGTAGCCTAAACAGCTCTTCAACCTTCCTTCTAAGAAAATCAGGTTTCTCCACAGATCAGCTTTCTGGTTTATAAAAAGCTCGATTTTGCACTGTACAGATTAAAGTTGCAAATATACAGACATACTTGTGTGTGGATACATATCAGCACACAACCAAGAAACAAAACAAAAATGATTTCTAGATTTTTGCAGAAACAAAGATCAATGGGGGTGTGCGAACAAACACACAAACACACACACACACACACACACACACACACACACACATGCACACAAATGTTCCCAGTTTTTTCAGGGGCACATTTTAATCCTCTCCATCCTCTGGTTGGTTGCCATCTGGCATTTTGCCTTTTATTTTATGAATAAAGTCCCCAATTGTTTCTACAGCTGTTATCAATGCTGCTGGTCCTGTTGCAAATGGGGATAACAGGGGATATGTATCTCCACAACTTTCAGAAGGTATTTCAGTCTTGTAGTTCTCATCACAAGTCTTGAATTGTGCTCTCCTACTTTATAGCCCATAACACAGATGGCTAAATTACTAAACACTTTGTCCTAGGAAGGCATAAAAGGGAACTCCTTTTCTTTTTTAAAATTTTAAACATATTATTTAAAGTTTGAGTTCCAAATTCTATCCCTCCCCTCTCCCCTCTCATGGTATATATGTTATACATGTACAATTATGTAAAACATTTCCATATTAGTCATTTTGTACAAGAAGAGTCAAATAAAAGAAAAAAATGAAAAAGTGAAAATAGCATGCTTCTGTCTGTATGCAGTCAATATCAATTCTTTCTTTGGAGGTGGACAGCATGTTTCATCATTAGTCCTTTGAGATTGTCTTGGATCATTGTATTGCTGAGAATAGCTAAGTCATTCACAATTCTTCATTGAACAATATTGCTATTACTGTGTACAACTTTCTCCTGGTTCTATTCACTTCACTGTGCATCAGCTCATGTGAGTCTTTCCAGGTTTTTCTGAAATCATCCTGCTTGTCATTTCTTATAGCACAATAATATTCCATTACAATCATATACCACAGCTTGTTTAGCCATTTCCCCATTTATGGGCATCCCTTTGATCTCCAATTATTAACTACCACAAAAAGAACTGCCATAAATATTTGTTTACAATAGATCCTTTTCTCTTTTTCTGGACGTCTTTGGGTTATAGATGTAGCAGTGGGTATTGCCAGATCAAAGGGTATGCAGTTCTATAGCCCTGTGGCCATAGGGGAACTATTTTTCCAGTAGGTATTGTTTATAAATATTCTGCATGAATCTATAGATAGATTCATGTATATATGCACATATATACTGTACACATCTGTATATATATATGTACATGGGTACTGTATGCATATACTTACCACATAAATGCATGTATGTTAAAACTTTATATTCAATATTAACATTTAAGCTTATTTACCTCTAATGTTCCTGGGTATTATTTCTGTTGCCTATGAGTATCCATGTAAAAAGACCTTTGTGGTAGGCATTGTCTTCCATACTGACCAGGAACAGAACACTTTATTCTCTACCTGTGGTGGTCTCAAAACAGGCTTACCTGTAGGTAAAGCAGGCTAAGGGATATAGAAGGACACATTTTTGGCCTCTTTCTGCCAACCTCTACTCCCCTCCCCCCCCAAAAAAACACCTCATCCATTGTTAATGAGTTACCCACTTAATTATGCCCCTGGTTTTTAGTGTTCCTGTTAAATATAAGTAAGGGATTGTATCACACTTAGCCATTATCACTCATTATCATTTAAGTATGAACTAAGCAAAGATATTAGTTCTAGCCACCTAGTAGAGCCTTAGGAGTAGATTAATTTTGATGAGGAAAGAAATTCAATTTAATTCAATTCAACAAGCATTTGAGTGCCTGTTATGTGTAAGGAATTGGGGATACAAAGGAAAAAAATGAAACAGTTCCTCTCTTCAAGGAGATTCAATTCTACTGGTGAATACAAGATATACACAGATAAGTAAAGACTATAGATACAACCAAAAACCCTTAGAAAGTAACTGCAAGATATTTAGAAGGGGAAGAACATTAGCAGCTGGGAAAATGGGAAAGAACTGGTGTTAAGAAGTCACACTTGTACTGAGTCTTGAAGGGAGCTACGGAAAGCACCAGATAGAAGTGAGGACGCACTCCTGGGCAAAAGGTAAGAAATGGAATATTGTGAAGCAATACAGCAAGTAAGACAGTCTGGCCAGAAACATTAGAAATATGCCTGAAAGAGCTAAATGTTGAAGGGCTTTAAATGCAGAACAGAAGAGTTTGTATTTTAAACTGGAGGCAAAGGGGAGCCATTGAAGCTTCTTGAGTGAAAGAAAAAGTCAGAATATAGAGCACTGACCCAGAATAGGGGAATGAAATGAAGCCAAGGTGGGAATCCAGAGTGGCTAGGCTTACAAGCTACAAATAAAATAAAAACACTAAGAACGTAAAAAGGCATTATAAGAAGTCAATAGATGGGGATGGGAGTACTGACTAAAGGTTAACGGTATGTACAAAGATAAATTTTGACGATTTTGCCTATAGATTGATCCAGTCTAAATTTCTCCTGATCAGTCTCAATTTTTCAAACAACCTGCCCATGGCAGCTCTAAATTAGAACTCCCTAACAAAGGCCATCATTTCTCAGCTATGGTGACTGATATTTTAGTTGAATTCCTAATTCCTAATCATGTTCCACCAAGCACATCTTCACTAAGTGGGAGCTTTCATTTAATTCAACTTAAGACACATTTGTTAAATGCCTCGAATGAACAAGGCATTTTGCATAACCTTCCCTGCTTCCCACTCCTACCCAGATTCAAGAATCCATATACTCTGGTCGTTGTCCTTTATTCTTCCAGTTCTGTGCAGGAGGATGGTAGCAAAGTGTCTCCTGAGGTGGGGAGATCAGAATCTTCTGATAGCCTCTTTCCTCACTTGGGAAGTTCTTCCAGAATAAAAAGAATTCAAATTAAACAGAGGAAAAAACTACCAAATTCCAAGTTCTTTCCACCCGACCACGTTTTTCGCGTTAACACACCCCAGCTTTTAGTCCGTATTTCACGTTCCCAGTCCTATACTCCAGGAGGCAGAGCAAGCGTGGGTCCGCTCTTCAGGGTCACCCTCATTTACTTGCTCACCACCTGCGTTAGATACTTGCATGCCTTCGCTGCAGCCTGTGCTAATGTAAACTGCTCTCCTAACGTAAACTGTGCCCCTAAGTTCGGCCCGTGGTTCTTACTTCTGAATGTAAACGTCTCCAAGGGTGGGAAGTTAGATGCTTCCCCAGCTATCCGCTCACTTAACTGGATATCCTTTGACTGATCTAGGCTGCCTGCGGTACTTCTCCGTTAATTTTTTTCAGTAAATGCAGAAGTCCAGTGGCTACAGAAAAAGCCGAAAAGATTTGGGGGTGAAGACTGGATGGCTTTGTTGTGACAACACATATAAGGGACCACTAATTGCCCAAGGTTGTTTGAGTGTTCTGTCTCTGTTTCTGGAGCGTATTTACTCAAATCACTTTCTTCTTCCTTTCAATTATGTACTTAGAATGTACTCACTTCTCCGTTCTTATCATCGGTATACATACTGAGTACTGTAGGCCGAGGGTAAATGGGACAGGAGGAGTAGAAGGTTGTTACTCATTTTCATTTCTGATCTTAGTTTCGAATCAGGGGAGAGTTAAGAGCTTCTGCAGAACACGAAGCAAACAGCTTGAGATGTTTGTGCGATAGATACAAAAGGGTTCTCTAAAGTACAAATGAAAACCCTGAGGCCGTAGGGAGGAAATTTGGACATAGGTCCTTCTGACTCAGTTTTACTGAGTCATTAGCTTAGTTTCTAGTCCAGTGTCAAAGGGACTTTAAAATTCTCTGTCCAGTGGCCCCGTTACTCCCCGCCCCCTAATCCCTGAATTTAGATTGGGTGAGGAACAGACAGGAGCTAGCGGCTAGCTAGCTAGGCAGTGCACACTAGAAACCAGACTGCTACAGGGTCCTAGCAGTGTTCACGGAAACTGTTTTCCCATTTGGGAACAGAAGAGTGAGGCCTCTAAAACTAATATATCGAGACGCCCTTGAGATCTCTTGGGAAGTGCTTCCCGGAAAGGGGGAGGGGGGAGAA